TATGCCGAGGTAAACTAATTACTTATGCGTCATGTTTATTGAATAGTTTAAATAATTATTGACTTATTATTATGTATTATTTCCACTAGTTATGTGATAGGCATCCAGATATTCTTATCACGGATGTTTGGGTTACCATCGGATTCACTTATGATATACGTGAACAAAAGTATTGTCTAATAAAAGAAGAGTATGGACATGGATTATGTCTGGCGTGTATGGAGCGATTAGAACCTAAGATAAATGCATTTTGCTATTCGTGTATAGCACCGACGCCTCCTAATTGGATTACGGGCAACAAATCTTTAGATTCATTTATTATGGAGTCGTGGAGTAATGTGATCGATATATATGATGCGTACATACAATAGATTGAATACTCTCTATTGACAAACATACAAGAGATGACATCATTACGCCATGGATGCACGCATATAGCAGAATGGACAACAAATGAATTGACATGCGTGACACTCAAAAAGATAGTTGAAGGGGATGATCAGTTATTTGATTTTCATCAGGTAAAATTATTTCACATGTAAAATGCAAGTAGTTATTAACGTGTGTATCGCGTGTTTAGATTAACAACTGTTTGTTTACTCAAATAGCTAACTAAGGAATATCCAGAGATATTAACACCCGAGAATATTTGGATAATTGGGATCACTCAGGTGCCATCTACTCGAGAATATTATTTAGTGTTCTACCACGACATATGTCAGGTATTGGACAGATTTATACGAAATCATAATCGTGTAAAGTACATGCAGTATAGCGACTTCGACGAACTCAAACAGATCGGATCTGGTGGTTATGGAACAGTTTACACTGCCAGATATAAAAAGTATTCAGAAGAAGACGATTCAGAAGAAGACGATTCAGAAGAGGACGATTCAGAAGAGGACGATATTCTAATTCCAGAAACTGTTGTACTCAAACGGTTTAAGAGGTTTGATGAAACGCCGGAATTATTTATTTCCGAGGTAAGCAATAATTGGTAGTATTAATTAAAGTGATATTTAATCTGACTTTGTATGTATTTTATTTATTAGTTCAGAAATCATGCCAAGTGTACGTTTGATGATTTCCTTGAAATTTATGGAGTCACACAAGACCCAGAAACAAAAGAATACATGATTGTTATGCAATATGCTAACAATGGTAGTCTTTTGTCTTATTTGGATCAAAATATTAACAAATTGACGTGGGGAATGAAATTACAGCGTTTGATGAAGATTGCATATTATCTGCATGCTATTCTTATTACGGGCTTAGTGCATTGTGATCTTCATGGCGGAAACATAGTTATCGATGGCGACGTGTCGGAGACAGATTTCTTCATATGCGATCTTGGTCTCTCACGATCAATGAATTCACACGAGTCAAATTCAACCATTCGAGGCGTTTTACCCTTTATTGCACCGGAAGTCTTCCATACCTACAAATTTACTCGGAAATCAGATGTGTATTCTTTTGGTATCATTATGTATTTGATTGCTACTGGCGAACCACCTTTTAGAGATAGGCAATTCGATAGAGATTTAGCATGCGATATTATGGGCGGACTACGACCATCGATGCCTGATTCCGCGCCAGAGGGATACAAGGAACTTGCCAAGCGGTGTTGTGATGCTGATCCTGATAAGCGTCCGGGTGCAGTGACACTTTTGCGTTATATTCACGAGCTTAGTGTAGAGGCGGTGAAGGACAATCCTGATGACAACACGTGGAGTGCTGTTTATCATAATGATGTAAAACCCTTATCATGTCTCGAGAAAGAGAGTAAATATTCTAGTACGTTTTTGCCTACTGGAGATTTACCTAAGCCGAGAAACAGTTACGATTCAGCTGCAGGTATGAAGACAATAATTGGTTATAAATGAAGTCGATTTTACAATATTAACATCGTCCTCTGTTTATGATTTAGTGACTCAAACGCTCTTTGAATAAACTTGTAATTCGCGGTTATTTACAGTTTATACGAGTTTTATTCAAGGGTTTACACCTTTTTCGATTAAATAAATTAAATACGATATGCTTCATGTATGTCAATATGGGTTGAGTTAAAAAAAGATACCGAAATAAAATCGTGCGCGTTTACTGTTAGCTGCCTTTGCCGGGGTAGATTATTTATAGAGTACATCATTTAAAGTTTATGAAACTGGTAATGTGTAATGAGTTGGTTCCTGAATAAAATGCGTAGCTACTGTACATTCGAGCTCTGTTCGCTAGACAGTAAAGCTTCATTGTCAATTTCAGTACCTGACATTGTTTTCATACTCCCAAAATGACCCATGTAGTTGGCCAATGGGGCAAGATTGTCTTGCTGTGATTGCCTTCATTTGAACATTGCATAATGGTATGCCTTACAAGCACAATAACAGATTTCCTTGATTTTTCGTTCACGTGATTAATCGTATAATTTACATAATAATAACCACCCGCCTACAATCTTTATGAGAAATTAAGTTCTAAAAAGAGCATTTGCTTCATAATTTTTAGTTGGAAATCGTAGAAGTTGACAGTTCTTCTTTCGTTACCTCAACCATTATTGGCTACTCTTTAAATGTCCTATCACATCAATTAATTTTGCTGGCCATCATATTAGCTTCATCTACAATAACTTTCGAGAATATTATTGTCTAAAATATTATCTCCCTCCTTCGCTTTATCTACGGGAAAAGCCAATGTATATGGTTATGTGAGTGTATTGGTTTGCGAGATGAATGAGATCAGGGCTGCCATTAGTTAAGATTACCAGAATAACTTTGCCACTATTTAATACGCAGTCATTTTCTCTTTATGACTTACCGATAGGCCCCCAATTAGTACAGTCGCATACAATAAATCTCTCCGTGTATGATCTTCATTAAATTTGTCATCAAACCTTGCCAGAATGTTCCCGACGTGATGTAATGAATGAACCCAATATTCAGCCACAAAGGCATGCATATTTGATTGGCGTGAGCCACCCCTAATAGAGCTTTCTGTAGTATGACGTAATAGAATGTCGTAACAATATACCATTGAATCGAAGATACACTCTTTTTCCGGAATATCTTATCCTACAAAGCGCTGATGCGCCACATTAGATGTTACATTATGTTATGCGTTTGTTCCCGTTGTTAATGACAGAAACTCTCCATTTGCATTAAGCTTAAGTAAACTCTTCGACTATATAAAGAAATATCAAATGCACAATCTGTTGAAGTTTAAGAAAGAATGTCGGTACATAATATAGCAGAGTGGATTGATACAAGCAATAGTAACGATAACAGCAATAACATAACATACACCTCACTTTTTATTTTAATATCTGCTAAAATAATGGGTGATCGACTTATTGCATCATTTCGCTACACTGTACAACTGAATGTGAATTCATGATAAAATAGTCGATCACTTGTTCCTTGACAAAGTAAAGTCGATCTTTCCCGGCTCGCAGTTTAAGAACACAACTATTTATTAAGACAAGAACGCTGGTGCAAGACTCCTTGTTACTTTAAAGTTCGTATTCCATACTGTTTGTTATAAGTATGTATTGCTTACTATATTGATAGTCTCGAATGCTTGGAGTCTGCAACTTGAGAGATTGCAATGAAGCTGCAATTTCTTGTAACAAATGGTGGACAAACCTACTATTTATATATAATGTATCTAAAAACAAATTTCATTTTTGGGTGGGACGTAATTGTAACTACTGATCGCGTTACTATAACTAACCTTTCGCTGTATGTTAATAGCTTAACTGTGCCATACATAGGCTGCCAAGAACACTGTAGATTACCTTCAATTTAGTAAGTATCTCATATTCTGCGTGTGGCGTCTAGGAGAATGTCATTGTGACGAATATGCAATTACGAGAATATGCATCTTTATTAATTATTCATTTGCAATCAAACGTACACTGACTGTGATATATTTTGACACTCTCGCACATACCGAACAGCTTCAACAATGCACAGAACAGACTCTGGCTTCTATGTAATCGATGTCTTGCCTTTGCACCATGCAAGTAAAAGGCCTTTCCACTTGGAGAAGCGCATGCGCTCCAAGAAATCTTCCCCCCTTTATTCTTCAAACCTTCCACTTTCTCCAGCAGAAGCTCACCTGAAACGTGAAGCGATCCTTGAAGCTCGTCGCCTTAAACTTGCTCGCCAGTTTCTTCACGTTAAAGACGTCCTTGACAAACAACATCAAAGAGCCTTGCGTGATTCCTCAGCCAAACGATCCCAAATTCAAACCACCCTTCGTATGGCAGAAAAGAACAGGAACTTGATTTTACAAAAGCTAGTCGAGCAAGCCGCACAAGAAGTAGCTAGATGTAAAGAAGTTGCAAGAATGCAGCAGTTGAAGAATCAGGAGGAAACTGATCGAAGAAGGAAAGACATGGAAAGACGACAGAAAGCGACGGCTGCTAGGAGGGCAAGACTTTTGAGCGCTTCAAAGACAAAGACTACTGGAAGTAACGCTAATGTGCCCATGAGTCGAGAAGAGGCTGCCGTATTTATTCAGGGGATTTGGAGATATAATCGATTGATGCCTTGCGTGAAAGCATTCAGGAAATTTGGGATAAACATTCATGCGGTCGAATCTATATCGTTCGGAGATATTGTAGCATTATTGCAGAAACCGGCAGTCATCCAAGCAACTTCAAAGTTGCTGGCACGCATCAGAAAAGTTTCGTCTTTAACTTCTGGTTCTAAGAAATATAAGAATTTTGCAAGAGTATTCCTTAGTGTATATATGATTACAGCACATACGGGAGAGATTCTCGTTGATATGGGACCACACGAAAATGTATGTGATATTGCGAGACAGTTATTGGTGTGTGCATTTTGTAGCGTGATTGAAACTTAATGATCTTCTCGTTTTGTAGGAATTATTGAGCAGCGCTAAAAGTATGTTGGCCAATTTTGAGCGCTGGATAGACGAAGTTTCCGTCACAACTCCGGGCAGAATCCATTATTCTTCACTTGTCAAATTCCTTTACGACTGGGATGCCTACTACAATGCCTTCAACACTTGGAAAACAAAGGATTCCGAAAAACTGACATCTAACCTAATCGCTCACTATCTAGATTACGAAAAGTTATGGAACACTGTTAAGAACCAAGCAAATGCTGAGACAGAGTGGCGACCTAATATTGTCTTCCAACAGGAAGAAATCAGACGAAAGGTTAGGAATCTGGGTGGTGACGCCGCTATGGCACGTTTGGAGAACGCCCTTCGGCAATTAAGAAAGAAGATACCCAAAGACAATGATGAATCTGGATTCGGAAATGATACTGTTAAAAGGAGTGTCAGTCAGGAATCAGGTGATTGGTCTGACAAAGATGACGGTTTAACTGTGCCTCCAAGACAAGTGGCTGTTTCGTCTGCCTCTTCTCCTTCTCCTTCTCCTTCTCCCAATTTACCATCATCAGTATTACAATCGCCGTCAGCATCGCCATCATTACAAGGCACAGGTTCCTCGACCATTTCATCCTCGCCAGTGTCGAATAATATTCATGAAGCAAACAATAACTTGCAAACAATCATACAGAGTTTTGGGGGTTATGGTGCTGGGCTTAGTAACGAAAAGTTGGCACATGAAATCATTATTGATCCTGATTTCGAATTGAAACCGCAGAAGAGAACAGAATTGGAGGAGCGAGTAAGAGCGATGACTACTAAAGCGCTCCTTGACTCTGCTAGGGAGGACTTTGAGCAAGGGAGATATGACAAGTGGATTCCTAGTCTAATGAAAGATATCAAGCAGGTATGTAAACCAAGTGTGTTATGCTATTATTCTCAACTGGTTCGGATAGTTGCCTAACAAAGTCACTTTCTGTCATTGAAAACAACAGACACTTCAAGAAATAGTACCTCGCTCCTCGCTTTACAATACTATCGAAGAAGTACTCGATATCGACTTGATCACTCAACAAACCAAAGTTGGTGTCTATGACATTCGTAACAGTATAACGTTCATCATCGATCTCATGCTTCAAATCTGTGCTCCCGTACGCGACGAACAAATTAAATCTCTCAAGGATATGACTGATCTCGCGGAAATCTTCCAGCACATATTTGAATTTTTAGACATGATGAAATTAGATTTGTTGAATTATCAGGTCAAATTGATCAGACCGTATTTGAAAGAACAAGCTGTAGAGTATGAACGTGGAAAATTCGAGTCGGCTTTTGTTGCGGGGAAATTGAGTCTGGAACGGACGAAGGCTTGGCTTTATCCTACTGTTGATGCGCTGCTGCGCACTGCTGCTGAGCGTAATCCGGAGAGAGTCAATCTCCCTCAACATAGACACAATCATGGTATAAAATTCGATCAAGTCTTCGACGATGCATTCATTTCCCTTATTTTCCAACCTACTCAGATAGACAGAAACAACTGTCCGGAAACTTTCTTGCTCGATGTTGAACGGTTATGGAACTTCCAAAACGAGAGTCAGATGGTCACTATAGTTGCTGTATTAATTATGTTGACTAAAAATATTGCCACCGCATCTCAACAGCCAAATGTTGCCGATCTCGAGACTTTAAAAGACCGTCTATTCATCCTTCTGAGCGATGGTGACATGACCATTGATAATCTCTCTGCCGAGGTTTCAAATCATTTCCCCAAAATGACTCCTGAAACTCAATCTCTCATTAACTCTATGGTTTCGAAAACACTTTCGCAGAATGATAAGGTATACTCTTTACTTTCTCGTAGAGTGCAGACAATAGTAAAGACGCATTTACAGAGTGGACAGTTCCCCAAACCGGAATTGTTGGCACAGTACGGCGTTGCTTCTGTCGCAAAAGAACTGGAGGCGTTGAGCAAAAAGATTCGTATCCTCGGGAGATATAATAGGGAGGTATACGCTAAATGGTATGATGAAACGATCAGAGAAAGGTTGAGATCGCAAGCTGGAGGGAATTGAGCAGTATTTGCGTATGAGAGATCATTGACAAATTGATTGAGAAGTAGTTCGATGTTTAGTTGTAGGCTCTTTCCTTCTCCATACGCAGTTTTGTTTGTTAGTATTTATTGTCATTGTAATGAAATAAATTGCTGGCCTTTTTAATTTCATTTATGTAACAAAGATTATAAAACAATCGAGAATTACCAATGGAGCACGCTTGTGCTCCCAATGATTATACATTTCTCTGAGACATGCTGAACACAATTATAATTAACATTGTTCCTCAGTGAACTTTATTAAGAATTTTGACCACAAAACGAACTCGAACCAAATTTTTAGAACTCTTGTTGTTTTTTAATATTATAAGATATCCTTTGAGATCATACCTGCGGCAATTGGATGATAAAAAGAACGATGCTCCCGGAAAGTCTTTTTCGCTAGTTCTGATCCATTTTTGCATCTATTCAGTAACCTACAACAAGGTATAAAAAATATTGAATACATTGAACAATAAACAGTTTCTTAAATTTACGACATTACAGACCTGTAAAGCGGTCTCACAAACTTCATTCTCCCTTGTTCGGTTACGAATTTGACTACGTGTGGGAAGATCGGTTCATATTCAGCAAGTAGACACAATTCTTGCCATCGGAAACGAATTTCCGAGTTGACAATGCTTGTCAACTGATACAATCGGTCAAGTTCGCGTATAGCGTTTTGTGGTAGTGGTGGATACTCCGAGAGACGCTGTATGAAGACAACTGGCAAAAGAGATACAACAGAGTTAGAATGGTATTAATTGCAAAAAATTATACGCAAGAAAAGGAAAAGATCCTCTTTGTACCCTTTTGAAGAGAGCTAAAGTTCTTGACATCATCCGGGCTAAACTCTTCAAACGTTGTCTTATTCCTCGCCGCATCCCATCTACGTAAAGCATATAAGTATGAGAAAGACTCCAGTGACCGAATCATAAGAGCAAGCTATACGGTATCTAACCTCTCCGCCAATTCAGAACATGCTTTCGCCAGAGTCTGATCAAATTCATTTCGCACGGGTGGCTGTTAATATAGTAAAGCATGTATTAAGTACAATTAAACGCATCATCGAAATCGAGTTTCCATGGTTGTATAACCATACCAATCCGGGCGCGTGCAACCAAGCTTCCCAATCGATTTTTTCCAAAACCGCTCTCTTTTCGGCGCCATAATTATTTTCCATGAACGAAAAGAGGAATGCTTTCCAATCATCGGTTGTTATTGATTTACCAGCGAAATTTTCGACATGAGCTTTCATGTATGGTTCAAAATACTTTGGCCCACCAACAATGTGTTCGATGTAATAGAGGAAATTGAAACCCTTTTCTGTGGTCGACAGAAGAATTTGGGCAAATTAATAAAACGCGGCGAGTTTAACGATAATCAGACGAATAGGTTTCAATGACTGATATAATCATTACCATACGGAACAGATGAGAAAGAATCATCAGGGTCAACTCCCTTTAAATTGGGAGTGAGCGCGGTTAGTGGATTACTACTACCAAACTGTTTGATACTATCCTCCAGCTCGCGCCAGCCGATAATTGACCTAAACTGTTTATACGCTTCTCCCTCTACCCGGCCTGTAAAGTATTCCAGTTAGAACAGGAATAACTTCAATGGAAAAATAATATACTTGTAAACTCACCTACAATCTTTCGTTCAACAAAGACGGTCCATCCTTCGTTCAGCCACATATGTTCCCAATTAGCATTTGTGACGAGATTACCTGTCCAACTGTGAGAGATCTCATGCGCCACAACATCAACAAGCGACCTATCCCCGGCCAGTAGTGTCGGAGTCACGTAGGTCAAACATGGATTCTCCATACCGCCGTAAGGAAAGGATGGTGGCAATACCAGAAGATCATATTTCCTCCATTCATAAGGGGTTAACAAATTCTCTCCAGTAGCAACAAACTTCTCTGTATCTGCAAACTCCCATGCTGCGCTCTCTATCACTTCGGGCTCTGTCCAGACCGTAGATCTAGGACCGATCTGTCGGCCCACCAGATTACCAGCGGCCAAAGCAAGCAAATAAGAAGGGATTTTCGTCTTCTGTTCAAACGTATATACTTTGTAACCATCGCCAGCTTCCGATTCTCCAGTGCCTATTGCGCTCATTAAAGCACGGTAATGTGATCGGATTGTCGCACTATAAGTCACTTTGAGTGATGGAGAATCTTGACATGGTACCAGTGAACGAGCATGGATCTGTTTGTTTAATGTGATAGCACAATTATTAATCACAATATCAAGCACGTAGTTACCAAACACAAGTTCAATAACTTACTGCTTGACATTGAGTAAAAAGATAGGGAAATTTTTTTCCCACTGTTTGGCTATTCATTGATATTAACCGCATGTTGAGTTGGTTCCGTAATCACTACTTGCCAAAAGTCTAGCCTTTTCTCTCACCTGGGTTCTAGCCACTGGACGGCAGTGCATGCAGAAGTAGTCTGGTATCCTATAGTAAGCTTGAATTTGGTGCCTGTTTGTAAACTGCTTGGCAACGCGATTCGTAAAGCTGATCCAAATCTCTCGTCGTCTGGATCAAGTGAGAACTTGGGTCATAATCCATAGATTAATAATAAATCCGATCATATTAGCAACTCGTTGATATAATATGTTTACCTTCAACGACGTATTAGTACCATAATGTACACTTCGAACATCAACATGTCTTGTATCCAAGATTACGTTAGAAACATCCGAGACAACTGCAACCAGATCCAATGTTACCGATCCACTGAGAACTTTTTTCGTGAAATCTACTGTTAGATCCAAATGCAAATGAGTCGTCTGCACGTCGTTGATATTGGCATAGCTACTAGGATCATAAAGCATTTTATCAAGTGATATTTAATACCATCTGTTTTCGTGAGAATAAGGATCGGCAGAATATATTGATTTCAGCCTGTGTTACATTGGTATACACAAAACTGGTTGGTGTCAATGCTTCTATCTGTGAAGTAGTATCGAAACCGAGTCCATTAAAATATGTTCCAGAAAATTGGCAACTATCTCGCTCTCAAAAACTACCAGTATGAACTTACTACTGCCCTGTATATGCTTGAGCCGTGGGAGAAGGCACTCTTCAGTATGTCGAATTGCTAATAGACAACTATCATTAGTTCCGACATTCTCTAACAAAAACTGTTGTTTCTTTTCAACACAGATTCGCTCGTTATAATCGGATCCTCTCTGCTTGTTTATGCTACAATATTTTATCTTCCAGACCACCTGTCTCAAGTGGCGGCAAAAATTGCCGAGTATACAACCTATTACTAATATAATATAGAACAACGATAATGTAATGAATTCTCGTATTGCTTGAGCATTTGTAATTGTATTATTCTAAGATTCACTTTTATTTTTAATTTAAGAGTCGTTCTCAAATATCAATTTCGTAACAGTTGTTTGTAGGCAAACGCTGAAGATGCCAACTCATTTCTTTTTTCATTTCATTTGACTCTTGCAATGCTGTGCAACATTTCCTCTTTTGTAATGAGATGGCATGTCTTCTCGATTAATCCCAGTAAAGAATTTATATTATTAGACCAATCGTTCAACACCTGATTAGCGTTTTTGGGCTGTGCGAACGAGACTATCCCTGCTGGCCTGTCGATCTTGGCGTAAATGGTTTTTGAGACGACGAGTTTCGACAAGAAGTCCTCGGTATCCTATTGCAAAAAGAATAGAAAAAGATTACAAACCGAGCACTCCGCAGGTTGTGGACATTCTTACTCATTTAGTTTACCTGTTCGTTAAGATCGAGCAACTGTGCTAATCGTTTGGTTCGAATACGAGTGTAGTATTTGGCTACGACGCGAATATTCTGCAGAGTTGTGTCAGTAAGCGCAACTTTAAAGAAATGATGACTCAAACACATATATAGCTTACATGCTCTATAACGCGTTTATGCAGTTCTTGCCAACGTTTTTCGCCGGCTTCGTCATTTGGTACAAACACAGGTGACTGTCTCAATGCGCCACCGTAAAGTTCTTGCATCTTACGCCACTCAATTAGCTCTGGTGTTATGAAACACTTGATTATGTCACTGGATTGAACGGAAGGTTCATGGTAAACGTTATAGAAAATGGATTTTTACAAGAATGCTTTGCGTATTGAAAGAACTTGTTATGTTTCAAGTACCATGTCGAAGATACTTACTAGTGCGGCGATAGTTTGACCAAATTCGGGTCTTGGAATATGCGATGCAGTAAATCGCTCTGCTCATTATCGTATGGTGATAGAATGATGAAGTAGATGACGTTTTCTAAAATCTATTTAGAGTAAAGCAGAGAATATGCATGTTCCCGTTAGTTGCCTACAATGATAACTATCAGTTTCCTTATTCGCTTGCTAAAAAAAGCTGACCTCTCTCCATTGAGATTCATCTTGTTGTATGACAGGCGTATCATATACGTTTCGATAATACTTGCACACATTAAGATATTGCTCCTCATGAACAGCATGTTCGATCATCAACTTATAATATCGAAGTTTAAGATCCTAAAAAAAGAAGATTGGTGTTAGAAAAATCTTAGCAGTCGCAAATAGAACCACAGCGTGCTTAATCAAATTATTAATAATGTTAGCATCTTTTACAATGATGATATGTTAGACACATTTCAGCCTTCGTACATACATGTTGTTCGGGATCAGAGAAAAACTTGGTGTTAATCTTTCGACTGATTATCTGTGTCCGCGTATAATCTCTCTTTGCTAGAGTCAAACGCATCTGCTCGAGAATAAAGTCCGTCTTTTCGCGTTTATCCATGGAGCCAAACGTTTCGACTTGCAATTCTTGCAAAATTTCCGCAGCCTCAGCGATTTTACCCTCATCTTCGCGAATTCTGGATAACATACGCGTCAACCGAGCGCGCTCTACTTCAACATATATCTGGGCAATAGATGTAGAAATTATAGGCATTGAAAAGTTCAATCAGGAATCTCGACTAAAATTGCGATTATGATGCTGGCACAATGCTTACTTTGCCCTCTGTCACAGTACGTAGTGTGTCGATTAACTCCAGCTTAGTATCCATATCCGGTGTATGGTCCAAATACGTCATTGTTTCTTGGACCATTTTTGTAATAGCCTAAAGAAAGATGAGAACAGACATTGAATATTGCTTAAAAGAAAAAAGAAAGGCAACATATAGCATTAAACACGCCATTGAAACATACTTGTTTGAGTTGACCATGTTTCTTGGTCAACAACAACACGTATTCATTCAATAATTTCCATTCTCTAGCCTCGAAACATAACTTAACGATATGTACTAAAACACGAGTCGAAGAATCAAGATCAGCGGCCTGTATTACAACACATTTTATAAGTATTAAAACACAGATAAACTAAATGGTCATGCAATCAAATAAGAACGTACCTGACGAGTTTGTTTCTCAAGAGCAAGTAATTGCTCAAGGGCCTGATGCAATCTTCCTTGCTGAACGCGGAATAAAGTTAAAACAAGCCTTTGAATACAGAAGACGAATGTTACAAAATTAATCAAGGCCAAACCTTCGCTAAGGCCTCTGTTTCTGGCAGCTGGGCTTCTACAATAGGTTTCAAATCTTGTTCGGCTTTTTCAGACATGCTGTCGCAAAGCTGTTGCGTTATGTCGCTGACGCAACTTGTGGATGGGATATCTACACGTGATCCACGATCTCATGTACCGAAGATTGGCGTAAAAATTAAGGAAGAGTTTAATTCTACCTTGTGCGGTATCATGGTAAGTCAATTGACACTTTAATTTCAAATTCAATTCCACTTGTGTTTTCTCAAGAATTCTGTTTATCTCCAGTCCCCAGACCCAAATTTTGAATCGCTTGAACAACTCCCTGATCATATAGCTTCTTTCACTGCCAGTTGTGATGATGGAAAACTGATTGATGTAGGTCTAGCTCACCTTGTGATGGAATGCTATTAAAACGCAAGACGCAATTGCCCTAACATTTCATATTATCTACAGTCAACACCAGGAATAAAACCACAGCATGCATTAACATCTCGTAAAATACTTGAGAATGCTACTTTGTTGGTTGCAAAGTTGAAGGAAAAGGTTGGGGAAGACAGTGAACCGGTTGTCAAAGTTACTGGTAACTTTCAAACCAAGATCGAACTCGAATTTATTTTAATAACCAATATTTGCGGCTGAATACTTTCTCTTTCTGTAGTTTCGTATCCAGAGTACAATTATGCTTTTACAGTGTCTGGTGACAAGCTTTACGGAGTCAAACGCGCGAATAGTTAATTGAGCGGTGGATTAATTGCGATATTCTGTTTATAGGTCGTAGCTTTGGTTATTCTTGTACATCAGGTCATCAATCGGACTGTAGTGTATATGATTGGGTTAATTAGAAATTGCTTTTCATAATTAGCAGAGGGTCAGAAAGATCGCTGTCAGGAATTCGGTCTGGACATTCCAAGCATGCATGATAAGCGCAGCATCACAAGTTGCAATTTTTAAGTTTCACTTCTTCCAACTCATTATTATTTAGGTTCGATTATTCCAAGTCTAGATAGGCTTCAATTATTACATTTCTTTTAAACCTAAACGAGTAAAAGCCAAGTATTATTTAATATTTCAAATTTTCTAATCGAACAATGTCATGTCGACCTTTGATTCTAAGACTTTCTTTTTTGCCTTCTAATCCTGTCGAGCATCCTTGGACATCAGTAAATATTGTCGTTCAAGTTGTACAATACCAACTATCTCTTGCACGCGCTTGTTTTGACTACGATATCGTAAATCCCACTGTTCAGCTAGACTTTATATTGCTCTTCATACAATGCACGCACAAATCGCAAACTGCATTATCAAACACTTTCCGTAATCGTTCTTTAAACCTTCTATTTCGTTCCTCTGATTCTGCGTCTGTGTTAACTGATTGATGAGGTCAGCTATTAACTATGACTTCTGCTGATTTTCTAATTGACATGCTCCGGAAGTCTTCTAACTCTGTTAAGTCCAGCAACTAGATTAGACTGATTAGCGGGAACGGGCTTAATTATCGTTAGTACGTCTTTTCTTATCTTGAACGAAACCTATTAGCGTTAGATGCCGTCAAAGTTGATTAGTAGCAATAGTCTGGTTCTACATTTTTCGCCGATTGAATAAGATCCTAAAGTAAGTTCAGAAAAATAATTTGGACAGTTTAGTGAAACGATAATTAGTTGTAGATATGGTGTGGGACACCTAAAGACCGAACAGTCCGAAATTTTGTTCTGCAGATCACTTATCAATCACATGATATTT